ATTCTCTTGCCTCAGCCTCCCAAGTAGCTGGGACTACAGGTGCCTGCCACAACGCCCGGCTATTTTTTGGTTGTAGTTGTTATTGTTTGGCAGGCCTGGGCTGGATTCGAACCTGCCAGCTCTGGCTTATGTGGCTGGCACCTTAGCTGCTTGAGCTATGGGCGCCAAGCAATGGCTAGGTCTTTAATCGAAGCATTTGCCTTACTTAATATACTTAATAATTATAATTTGGTTTTGCAGTCAAAATGAGACTGTTGTCAACTTGATGCCAACCAGCATTTACAATAATTTTTTATTTAGTAATGATATAACTTCTAGAAAAAGAATCACTCAGGTACAACTTATTTTCACTTTTGTGTGCTGCCTTTTAATAATTACCATTTATATTTTAGTAAGGTAGTGGTAGTTTGTATATTTGCAGATGCTAGAGAAAACAGCAGCATAAAGTACTTTTGAAGCAGACTTTATTATATTTTGGCATATCTCTCTGTAAATGGTTTCGGAGCACTATTTTCTACTGATGTAAAAATTGAGATATGACTCAAAGCTCGGTATATTTTTTCTATTCTTTAAATGTGTATTTTAATAATATTTTATTATATTTGACTTATTTTGAAGAGATGCATTTGTACTGTTTTTTGTTAACATGTTTCTTGCAAGCAAAATTAGAATTGTTTAATTTTCACTTTCCTGTTATTTTTACATACGTTATTAAAGGCATATTTGGGCTAGTTCTTGACTTCTTTACCAGATTATGTGTTCTTTAAGGCTAGAGGCTGTACCATTTCAATTGACATTACTTGATATTAGGTCTTAATATACAGCTTCTTAGCTTAGTTCAAAATTGTACTCAGCCTTATCTTCTGTTACTCTTTGAACTCTATAGTCTGAAATGATATTTAAAGATTTTAGAAATATTTAAACTAAATTAAATGGTCTGTACTAGTTAAATATGATTTCTAAAATAATAAGATGTTACTGCTCATCTACAATATCTGATATAGTTGCTGAATAAGTGTTTGCTGGATAAATAAAGAGAAAATTACTCTTTTTGGATAGGAAAACTATTAGTATCGTTTATTTTTGGGTGGTGATTTTTTACTTTGATGTACTTGATACATGTTTTCAGAATTGTTCACCATGAATCTATTTTATAAACATCAGTAAAAGAATAGATAATGGTTTTTATTTTTTATTTTTTTTTTT